GCTTTTGTCTTCCTGTTAGTTGAATCTTTCTGTTCAGAATTGTGATATTGTTATTTAAATCATCCTCGAATTTACTATTGCAATTCCATAACCGTTGTTTGTGTTCTATTAGCATGTGCTATAATTCCATTTTCGAAACGGTATAATGCTATAAATGAGAGGCAATATAATGCGAGAAAATATATATGCAACGAAATGGGAGTTGCCATTATTAAAAACTGTGAAACTAGCTGACCACCTCTCCACCCCCTTCACTCCACAAGCTGGAGTGCCCCAAGGCTCAATACTTGCACCAATACTTTACACAGTCTACAATAGTGACATTTTCCGCCCACAGCAAGGATCAGAGTCTCTCCTCCTTTTCGCTGATGATACGGCCATTCTTACTTCAGGCTCCCACAGAGAGTGCGAACGACGGTCTGTATTCGAGAGATCGCAAGAATACCTTGACAGAGTCGTGAAGTGGTGCAACAAATGGAGGTGAGCATAAACCCCTCCAAAACTCAAGCAATTTTATTTAAATCTCCTTACTGTCGTGATGTCCAGGGCCGGATATCACTTTTGGGAGAAGACCTCATTCTCAGGAACTCGGTTCTCTACTTGGGAGTTCGTTTTACAAGAACTCTCAGCTGGAAGGCCGACGTCCAGGAATCCCTACATAGGGTGAGACAGAGGTTTAATCTCCCGAAACTGCTAACCGGTAAAATTGGTGGAACGTCTTCCAAAACTTTGTTGCACACCTACAAGACTTTTGTCAGACCGATAATCGAATACAAGGCATGCATTTACATTTCTCTCAAGAGTCACCAACTCAATGAGTCACCAACTCTAAGATACTGCATGAGAAAAGACTGGTCGTATCCATCAGCCCACATACACATATTGGCCAACATCACGCCAATCAAGGACAGAATCCTAACCCTCAGCAGGAAGTATGTTCTAAGAACCATAGCTGGCTCGAACAACCGAGCAAAACGAAAATTAAAGACGCCTTGCATTCATAAAGGGTAAATACTCAGGTTTCCCACTAAGGAAGTTCCGTTTCCTCCAGCAAAACTTCTACACAACACTGGACATGAACTTTCTGATGAGTATTTTGAAATTCTAGACTCATTCCCCATCCAATATCGCAGATAAAGACTGCGCGCCAAAAACGCTGATAAAGAGCTGTTCCTACTGTATAGCTGGTAACCCCTGAAGTACCTCAACTGGCATGCTAGGCAGATCCCACTTCTTCTTGTGCATTTTTATCGATCACACATACAAGTCACCTTCTTTTTCCTCCTGTTTTCTAGTCGTCCACTACTTGTTAACATCGTGCATCATTTAATTGACATTTATCACGCCCCCACAACTCCGTTAAAAAAGAGAGAAGTTACCCATTCCTTGAAGAGGCTCAGGCCTAAACAAGGTTAAAACTCGTGTGCCATGCCACACATGAGGGCCAACGTTGCCCAACAACGTTTGTCCAATGTGTGTACGGACAAAATTGTGTTGGGGCGAACGTTGGGAGTTTTCTGTTGACTGTCGGTTTTTGCGTACACATCAAAGGAATTGGCGCCACAGGCTGATATCGCTTCAGTACTCATCAAAATTTGTGGATGCTTCATCGAACAGTTGATCCAACGTTGGATCCTATGTGTGGAGCTGACCTAATTTTAAACAATTTCGTCTCTCTGCATGTCTTGAACATTTTCCCTCTGTCCGATCGCTTCCTGATGTTACAACTAAATACAAACACCAGAAAAATGAACATAATACATAAATATATGCACCAACATCGGTATCTAATATAATCTGATATTGTTGATCTTCCTCTTCGGAAGCCACACCAATAATCTAGAACTTAAAAGCCGAAAAAATTTTGCAAATCAGAGAGCAAATGCAAATACATAGAATACTTAGTTGAAAGATTAAACAGTTTGATGATGTCAATGATTATTATGGGAAGGCCTTGTACAACCACTAAAAATAAATCCTTTTTTTAAACATTTATATCTTAAGGTTTATATTATACAATACGTAACAGCATGTGTGATTATTTTATAATAAAAATATAAGATACTCTAGTAAACAGTGTTATCTATATAAGGTTTATTGATAAAAAGGTAAATACGTTTTTGAAAAATAGTCACTTCCTTGAAAATTGTTTACGTAAATATTTACAATACATAGTTGATTGTAGATAGATCAATTTACTATTTTTACTGGGAATAAGACAAAATTTTACTTTAAAATAAGTTTATTACTTCAAAATACAGTAGACTCGCGATTATCCGAGGTAATTGGGTCCGTGACTACCTCGGATACCGAAAAAACTCGGTTAACACTGAGATTGGTTATACTGATAGAAAAATGTGTACCTACGTAAATAATGATTAATATATTTATTTTAATAACTAAAAACTAATATAAAAGTAGTATAAAAGATAAAACAATTTACCTTATAAATGTTAATATTTAAAAAAGCCTTTAATTGATTTTTGTTTTAACTTCATTCTTATTTTTGAGGCGGCGATATTGCGCCAACGTTGAAAATGGAGGACGTCTAATGGTGTCAATTCTTCTTGTTGCTCGATGTATGCGAGAGCTGCTTCAAGGAACTTCAATACCTTGTCAATATCACTGTTACAAGTTAAGGCCTGTCTCATCACAGTTAATTATTTGGTCTGAAGTTAGTTCATCTTTAAGAATAATGTCTTGTAATTTTAAATAAAATGTTTCAATTTCAGTTGAGTCAGCAGAAAGTTTTTCGCCGCAAATATTCAATTGTCGGATGCCATATTTCTTTTTCCATAAGTTAATCCATCCTTCACTAGCACAAAAGTTTTCTCCTCCATCCATATCCCCAATCCTCTCATTTGTGAAAACCACAAGAACAATGAATCAGAAGTTTGTTCATAGTCCCCTTTCTTCATAGTCTTCCGGACCAATCCACTACCACCACTCACACTTCGGTTAACCCACTGTTCGATTTCATTCCGCTTACGCTTCCAATCTCCAACAGTTACTTCTACGACACCTAAACCTGAAGCACCCTTCTTTATTGATTCACCCTTGTCCAACCTCTTAATTGCATTCACTTTTGTTTCCAAAGATACAACTACTCTCTTCCGCTTTCCACTCATATTGCACAGAAAAATTCTCTCTTACACTCACAAAAATTAACTTATAAAAAATTAATTATGAAACTGAAACTAATAAACTCGAATAAATACACAAAACAGTACATAAAAGGAAAAATTTTACCCTGCACTAACTTAATTTGACGATCTAAACGGCAGCAAACAAATAATTTGACGATCTGAACGACAACAAACAAATCGGTAGTTTAATTCACACTAACACAAAAAGGAACAGGAAGTTGTAGACAAAACACGACACAGAAATTTCTGAAAATAAGGCAGTGGCCAATTTCTGAGAATACCAACTCGAAATCAGCTTGACCTATAGCCTACCTTACATACAATTCTCTTGTTATCAATAATCCACAATTTTCAATGGATTGCCCATATAACAGCTGCCGATATAACTTGTGACCATCGACCCTTTTTTTATTACTCGATATTATGATTCAACAAGTACGGCTATAAGAGTAAAACCCAGGCAAAATTTTGCCTCGGTTAACCGAGGGGCTCGGATAACCAAGACTCGGATAATTGAGAGTCTACTGTATACTTATTGTAAAGTAAAACTGTGGCTTATTCTTGTTAAAAATAGTAAAGTGTCACAGATCTAAAGATGTCACAATAAAATAGTATCAAAACAATATCAAAAATAGCTCGAATAAAAAATATTGATATTGCTGTATTAAATATATTTTATATGATACCGGACTTGGCAAACGAAAAGGATTATGAATTTTGACACTTAGAATATTGAATGACTACGTACTAAACAGAAGGTGGTTGACTTTCCAAATGGACATAATAGTTTGTACCTAAACGAAAAAGAAACGCAATGAACAAATAAGGGTTTGAAAACCCTAGCGCTTATAACCTAAAACCGGTTTTTTAACTCCGCAATAACGGGTTTTTCCGGTTATTTGTGGGTTCAAAATCAAACTTTCTGTGGTCTTCACACGACATGGAGCTGGTGAACATTGGTTCCAGTTTAGATTTTGAACTCTCTTTACCTGCAGCATCCTTTGCTGTCGAGATTGCGTGATCCATTTGAATGCCATGTTAATCTGGGAGCAGAGTAGAACCTGTATGCCAGGTTTGGTTTTTATAGCCAACAAATATATGTCGTTGGTCGGAAGTTCGGTGGCATCAGGGAAACTGGTGTCATCGTTAAACGCTATTGGGTTAGACGAGAGAAGCTGCGTAACCGACCAACATAAATATAAAAAAGGTTTCCTCAATAGGCTTCATGAAAAATATGGTTTGACCATAACGCGAATATGGTTTGACCAGGACAGCGCTACTTGCCACACAGCTCATGCCACATAAGACATGCTCTACAAGCGATTTGAGGGTCTTGTCATCTCACGGGGAGATAATGTGAACTGGCCACCGAGATTGTGCGGTTTGATCCCTTTACCCGTTAGACTATTTCTTGTGGGATTTTCTTGCGTCGCAGATATATCCGAATAAGCCACAAACCACAGCGGCCCTCAAAGTGAATATAACCCATGCCATCGGTCAATTTCAGCCTAATTTTTGCACCAGAGTCATTGCACATTGGACATTTCGGATACGCGATACCCAGAAAAGCCGCAGTGGACATTTGAGCGCTGCTATATTTCGCAGAAATAATATTAACATTCAAATTTTAATATTATTTTTAAAGTGATATGACAAAATTTGCAATTTATTGTAACGAATTTGCCTTAACAACATACATATTAACTTTTTCCCACTTAAAATAATGTTAGCCAAACAAAAACCAATTATTCTCAAAATTTGGTAATTGTATCTATTAGAGTGCTATGTATAATATGGGTACTATATTAACTGTAGATGATTGAATGTATTAAAAATCCCTTTCATTTGTTTCAGTTATCTTGTAGTAGTTACTCATTTATCTCATATAAATTATCCGAGAATTCGTGCCTTACTACTTGCCCTAGTGGTCGAGTGGATGAACCTATTGATTTTCTGCATCAGAAATTGAAAAAGTTGTTACAAGATGTAGAAGTACAAACAAAGTAAGTATTAATTTAATTACGTATTAAATCTCATGCGTTTCCCTCAAATCGTTTAACTAATTAGAATTTTTCATGTGTTATTCATATTCTTGCTGATAACCATCGTTTTTATTACCTTTATTTTTAATTTCATTGCAAATTCTTTACATTCAATTTTTACTATTCTATTCCTGTCTTAGCAGTGTTTTCTGTATGTACCTAACCTAACCTAAATATCATAAAATGATACCAAAACAACAAGATGAAAGTTAGAATTGATGGACAACTTACAGAACCTATAAAAGGACTGTATAACTTATAAAATTAGGACTCATTGAGCCCTATGCTCTTCAATTTAATCATGGCCGAAATCATCAAAAGTGTCAAAATAACGGAAGAGGATACAGAAAGGGAAACAAAGAAATCAAAATACTCTGTTACGCAGACGACGCAATATTGATAGCCCAAGATGAAGATAGTTTGCAAAGACTGCTCCACAGATATAACACAAGAGCAAAATAATTTAATATGACAATCTCATCTGAGAAAACTAAAACAAAAGTAATCAGCAAAGAACCAGTCAGATGTAAAATAGTAATTAATGGCATCAGTATTGAACAAGTAATGAAAATAAGATACCTTGGAATTACACTGTATAGCTATGAAGATCCCGTGAACTGACCGAGTCACAAATGAGGAGGTCCTTAGAAGAATGAATAAGAACCGAGAGATACTGACCACCATTAAATCTCGAAAGTTACAATTCTTCGGGCATATTATGCGAAATGAATCCAGATATACTCTTCTTCAAGCCATACTGCAAGTAAAAATATTTGGAAAGCCAGGTCCAGGAAGAAGAAGAACATCGTGGTTGAAGAACCTCAGAATCTGGTTCAATACAACATATGTGCAGCTTTTTCGCGCTGCTGCAGATAAGATAAAGATTGCCATAATGATCGCCAACATTCGTAACGGATAGGCACATCAAGAAGAAGAAGAAGCTATGGAGATTGGCAGCATGATATGACTAAACATACACATTAACACTGATATGAAGTGAAGAATTTATAAAGCCAGTGTAAGACCAATAATGACACATGCCTCAAAAACAAGACCCAACATAGCCAAAAGACAAAGACTACTGGAAACGACAGAGATGAGAGTACTGAGAACAATTACAGGAAATACCCTGAGAGATCGAAAGAGAAGTGAAGACATTAGAAGAAAATGTAACGTACAATATATACACGAATGAACACTAAACACAAAAAAAATGGAATAACCACATAAGTAGAATGAGGAAAACCCATGTGGTCAAAATAGCAAGAGACAAATCACCAATCGGCAGAAGTATCGGACGACCGCGCATAAGATGGAGTGGCCACCTACCATAGAGGTATTAATCCGCCAATGAACAAGCAGAATTACTCATAAAGAGGAGGAAGAAGTAGAAAGTAGAAAAAAAAATTGTATGAAACTAGAGAACTAAGAACAACTAGGTAGATTCACCAACGGGATCTACCAAGTATTATATTCATCAACAATATCAAATATATTATTCTTGAAACGTGTTAGTGATCCATATTTTGAAGTCATGTAATTTAACCTGATTTATGGAATTTACTGTGTGCCGCTCAAAGTACCAAAAAGGAAAATATGTATAAATATGGAAACTGAAGACCCATAACACTATTATGACCAAATTGGAAGTCATGACCAGCATACTATTAGAGAGAATGAAAATTCGGATCGACAAAAACTGGGGGAGAATCAGACAACCTACAGACCCAGAAGATCAGGTGTCGATAAAATATGCACATTGAGAATAATCAGGATAATAATCTAGACAGAAACAAGACAAATCCTATATGTGAATAGAAGACACTTGATTATGTCTTCTTCTTCTTTATCTGTGTTTCCCTTTTAAAGGGTCGCTGTTCCTTACTCTTCTTCGCCGCTTATTTGTGTCCATCGTGTCTTTTTCACCTAAACGTTTCTCTTTCAAGTCCTTTACCACACAATGGAAAGTATATTATTCCTCACAGTAATCAACTGAGTCGTGAAAAGAACAATGTATAATCGTACCGGCATGAACTGGAAAAATTTTTCTAAACTGTAAAACCCGATATATTCCTCCTTGTAAGCATAAAAGAACACATGAAAATAAATATACAGATTGCAAAATCTACTGGATTACAAATAAAAAACAAGACAAAAATATTCGTACAAGGCAGTACCAAAAATATTAAAATTACGGCGAACGATCAGCTTGAAAAGTCGATGACTTTTGTTAAATTGTGAGGAAGAAGCATAAAGGACCGTACGGGAGGCATAGAAAAAAATTTGAGTAAAGGGGCAGCAGCGGTACGAGCACAACTCTTATGGAAATTAACATGGGAAATCGCTAAGGTTCATTCTGGTCATTTTTGATGCTTTTTGTGGTGGAGGCGCGTCGGCTCATCGGATCGTGACGTGTAAGGTATCTTTGGAAAGCGGAGGAGACGGGGAACTCGTTGAGATAAAAAACCACTAGCACAAATCTAAAAAATATTTCGTTCCAAACAGTAATTCTGTATGAAACGGGACCTTTAAAGGCAGACAAAATGCTGATGAGGAAGAGAAAGCAGACATTTATTAACAAATGCCTGAGAATGATTTCTGGCCAAATTAGTAACAGAGACCTGTGAACGCTAACAAGGGAAAGAATATATAGATAGGTAGGTTACGCGCTCAGAAAATCAACAAAGAACAGTGTCAAGCTCTGAATTTTTACATGCCAGGGAAGGGAAGAATGGTTAGACTGCTATATGTTCCAGGAGGAACGACAGGAAGAAGATGAGATGCTCATAATTTCATGGATTTTTCAATATTGATTTTCGGAACTGTAATTTGTTTTTGCATATTTTCCAATATTCTTTATTTCTTGAATTTTTTTATCTCAAGATTAAAAATATTTTTCATATTAAAGAGGTCCTGAAACTGTTTTCTTGTAGCATGTTTACGTTAAACATTATTTTATATGGGATTAAACCACAATTGATTGTAATGAGAAGTACATTTTACATTTGTATTCACGTTTCGATTCGATAGAAGGTCAATGGCAAATCTATAATTAATCACATAAGCTCAAAACGATGAGAATGTGATCTGAATCCAAGAGTACAACATTTTTCAGAATTTCACATTTCACGCCAAAATATGGCTGTTTGTCTACAAGATCGAGGCCAAGTAAGTCAACTCGAAACGTCAATACAAATGTAAAATGTAATTCTCATTATAATCAATTGTTGTTTAACCCCATTTAAAACAAGATTAAAAAAGATATATTATTGGCTATTTTTTTTTAATTTTCTTATCTATAATAATTATTATGTTAGATATTCACAGAAATAAAGAGTTACTTCCATCATGAAAATTTACATATGAATTGACTTATGTATATTATTCATATATTAAATGTTTTAGAGCCCACATGAAAGAAAAATTTCTTTCTGACTTGAAGAAGCTGAAAGAACAAAAAAATGGAGAGGAATTAAATGAAGCGCTTCTATTAATGAGGAAACGTCTTGATGATCCCAATGTTCTTTCTGGAGAAGTCATATTAAACATGTTATTTTGTTTTCGTGATATTCAAGAATATGACGCGATGATACACTTAGTTGAAGACCTCAGGAAAGTTCCTACAGCTAGAAAGTACCTGAATTCATATATTATGTTTCTCTATGCTTTTGCCTTAAATAGAAGGAAAAAGGACGGTGATCGAAAGAACGCTCTTGCGGTCTGTGAAGAGTCTCTTAAAAGTGTAAGTTTAATTTTTAACAAAATACGAAATAATGTATTAAATTGTTTTTTTCTGTAGTGCTATTTGTGGACTAGTTAAGTAGTTTGATCATAACTCATATCTTTGACCTCTCAACAGATGATATAAGTATTGTATTTTCCTCACTTTGATCGTGCTTAGCAGTTTATTTTTGTTTAATCATGCACTGAAGTACCTTATCGTTGGTAACTTTTGATATTCATGTAATTCTCAGTATTCGTCTGTAAATATACATCCTATAGGTATCTATTCTTTTTTCTATTTCATAGTCCACTGTCCTACTTTTACAGCCATAGGACAAGAGGCAGAAAACTTACCATCCAATTATTTGGATTCTGAGTTCCAGACTAAGGTCTGATCTTGATAAACATGTTTTCATGTACATCAGTGTTTTCCTCGCTTGTTCGATTCTTGATAGAATTCCGTTTTTTTTTTTGTACAATGGCTATTGATATTTGCTCCCAAATATTTTATGAAAGTAACCTGTTCTATTATTTGTCCCTTGGCATACAATTGTACGTTGAAAAAATTAGAATTTTAGTTTTAGAAACATTTAGATTTAAACCGAACATTTTGCTATGATGAACTACCGAATTTATTATATTCTGCAGTTCTTGTGCGTTACTTGTTATTGGGATATCATAACTGTACTTGATGTTGTTTATGCCTTTTCCTTTGATCGTGATTCCCCCTTGGACATCGTCTAATGCTGCTCTGAATACAGATTATATAATAGCAATGATGCAGTGACGCAACCTTGTCGCACTCTTTGTCTGATTCGTATATCTTCGGATGTTGTGTGATCTATTGAAATATTGAATTTTATTTAAGAAAAATGAAAATTTAAAATTTTGTCTAGGCCATTCTTATATTATGGTTGTGGTTTTTCAGTTCTTACAATCTACATAAAAAATTTACTGTTGTATACAAATAAAAATAGTAATCGAAACATAAAAAATTACGGAATGTATCTCTTCAAAAATCAATAACACTACACTACACTGGGTACATTAGCAGAAAGATAAAAATAAAAAGATGTGTTTCCTCTTTCATATTGACCATCAAACGAAAATATTTAGCTTAGTCATTTAATATGCTCTTGCAGAATATATAAAAAAATAGGTGCGACTTGTGGGCTTGTTTAGCTACACCCACTGCAATTAAAGATGACCCATTCTGCACCAAACTTATCTTTACTTTTGATTTACCACCTACAATTTCGTTGACTGCAACTCTAACCATACTGCCACTAACATTACTGCCCCAAAAATACTTCTGATCTCTAAAAAATGCTCAAATAATAAACAAAAGTCAAAAGAACTCAAATCCCTCAATACTGGCTGAAGAAAGCCAGGACTACCGCTTCAGTTAGTGAAATCTTAGTTGATAATGAATCTTAATTCCCACACGTATATGATCTTTGCCGGCAAAACTAATCACAACAAAAAGTAAAAATAGTAATCTGTATTAACATGCAGATACAAAAATGAGACATTTGAGATGCTATGTTTTCTCTGTGTTGTTGTAAGGGGCGGAGGCATGGACGCTTACAGACACCACTATTAAAAAACTTAAAAAGCATTTGAGATGTGGCTTTATAGAAGAATGCTGAGAATATCATGGACAGCAAGGATCACGAACAAGGAAGTTCTAGGAAAAATGAAGAAGGAACCAGAGATTGTGTTTACAATCAAACGCACAAAATTGCAATAGCCGGGACACGTTATGAGAAATGAGCACCGTTACTCCCTGCTACAGTCTATATTGCAAGGTAAAGTCAAAGGTAAGCGAGGACCCGATAGAAGGAGAATATCATGGCTGCGGAATTTAAGAACATGGTTTAAGAAAACCTCAACGGAGCTGTTTCGAGCCGCAGCGAGCAAGGTTATGATTGCCAATATGATTTCCAACATCCGAAACGGATAGGAACCAGAAGAGGAAGAAGAAGAATTAACATGCCACATGAAAATACTTAAGAACAATATTTATTGTCAGCCATATTTTTACATTGCCTGCAAATCTTATATTATTAATAATTATATTCTATCCAATTCTTACACCTTCAGTTCTTTCCCATAGTGCTTCCTGAAATATTAGTTGCGGGTATACATTAAACAATTGTGGTGATAGTATAGAACCCTGCCTGACCCCGATTTGAATTCCTATCTGTATTGTTTCACTGTCTTTTACCCTTAGTACCGCTGTTTCATTGTAGATAGATCTTTGATTAGAGTAATATCTTTAGGATCTAGGTTTATGTTTCTTAGTGCATGTATAAGTGTTGGACTCTGTCAATCGCTTTTTGGAAATCTGTAAAACATTTCTTCTTCTTCAGCCTTAAGTAATCCAACTTTGGACATAGGCCTCCCCCAAATCAATCCAGTGTCTTCTATTTTGCGCCACTTGCTTCCAGTTGTCAACCTATGGCATTAACGTTAATGGCAACAAGTTAAACCACCTCAGATTTGCTGACGACATAGTGATTATAGCGAGCACATTCGAGGAACTGCAAATTATGTTGGGGGAACTAGCAGCCAGCTCGCAATACGTCGGCCTAAAAATGAATATGAAAAAAACAAAAATAATGACAAACACAGAAGACCCCAGACATATAACTATAAACGGCAGTGAGATATAACAAATCCAGGAATATATCTACCTAGGCCAAATCCTGAGACTTGACAAAGAGAACCAAAGTGCGGAAATTACTAGAAGAGCAAGACTAGCACGGCCAGGATTTGGAAAACTTAGTTGGATACTTAAGAACCGCAAAATACCCCAATACTTGAGGAGCAAAGTGTTCAACCAATGCATCCTTCCTATCATGACATATGGATGTCAAACCTGGGCCCTAACCAAGGCAAACATGAATAAACTAGCCACAACAGAAAGAACAATGGAAAGAGCAATGTTAGGTATATGACTGTCAGATAAAAAGAGGAACGACTGGGTAAGATCCAAAACGAGGACATAACAATAAAAATTGCAAAACTTAAATGGCGCTTCGCTGGCCACACTGCTAGACAGAAAGACCAACGTTGGAATACTACAATACAACATTGGAGACCTTACGAAAGTAAACGACCAAGAGGAAGACCACAGATGAGATGGGTTGATGACACTAAAAGAATAGCCGGAACAAATTTCAAATATGTTGCTCAGGATAGAGACCGATGGAAGGAGTTGGGAGAGGCCTATGTCCAAACATGGACGACAGAAGGCTAAGAAGAAGAAGAAGAAGCTTCCAGTTGTGTCCTCCGATCTTCTTAATATCATCCGCCCATCTTATTTGTGGTCTTAATCTGCTTCTCTTTCCTAACCATGGTCTCCATTGTTCCATTTTAATTTGGCAGCATGTTCTTCTGCGTCTTTTACATTGGTTTTGCTTCTAATCCATTTGTTTGTTTTTTTGTTTATAAGTCTCACCCTGAGCATTGATTTTTCCATCGCTCTTTGTGCTTTTACTATTTTATCCATATTAGACTTGCTGAGTGTCCACGTCTGTGAACCATACGTGAGTATAGAGAGGATACACTGATCAAATATTGTTCTATTTTAGTGCTTTTCAAGATCCAACTCAGTTTTCCAAATTCTTTCATTATCTGTCCTAGGTAGATGTATTCGCTTACTGTTTCTAAATTTATGTCGTTCAACGTTACTTCTGTAATGTTCGGTATATTTGTCATTATTTTTGTTTTTTTCCAAGATCATCTTAAGACCTACTTTTTCCGAAGCTTGAAATAGTTGCGTCATCATGGTCTGTAGTTCTTCGAAACTTGTAGCGAATAAAACAATGTCATGAATCATGTATAGAGGCACGGAGGAGGTCTAATGTCTTTGATATCTTTTACTGCGTCTTTAACAATCTCTTCTGAGCACATATTAAAAAGTAGACGTACGTCCTTGTCGTACTCTTCTTCTTATAGGTATCTCTTTAGATTTTTGTTGGTCTACTCGTATTATGTCTTTCTAATATCGGTATAAATTTTTAATGATTCTCAAATCCTGATAATCTATTTTTGTGTTTCGTAATATGTATACAAGCTTTCTGTGTTGTATGTTGTCAAAGCCTTTTTCACTCAACTAGACATATGAATGCGTCACGGTTGATATCTCTACACTGTTCTATGAGTGTTTGTATAGTAAATAATGCCTCTTTAATACCACAGTCTTTTCTAAATTCCAATGGGTTTGATGTTATTCTATCGTCTATTTTTTTTGTAGGCACGTTCATTATCACTCGCAAGAAGACTTTTGAAACTTAATAGGTTTTGTTCTTTGTTCATGCCATATATTCTTCGACGAATTATATCAAGGTTGTCAGTTTCTTAGACAGATCTTGAGTCTTGTCTTTCTTTACATTCCTTATAGGTATGTATATTGGATTTAAATCACACTGTCTTCACTGCGTCTTACGGCTGTCGTTTCCTATACTTTACTAAATTTCTTAAAAAAAATTTAAAACGAATAATAAACGTCAAATAGAACTGTTTTTGCAAACTCTCAACTGATATAACACTGCAACAGTGTTTCTTTGTATGTGCTTCTAAACTCTTAAATTGTTCTTGTTAAAATGATACTTGTGTGTAAATCTTTGCAATTTCTATCAAGAATCACGAGGTAATCATAACAAGTATGGTTTAATTTATCAGCAATGATAATAGGGAGTCTTTTATATCGTTGGTTCTGCTATAACAATGTATTTATAAAGTATATTAAAATTTGTAGAAAGAAAATCACTTTCCGGATATGCTATGCCTATGTGGAAGGATTTACAAGGATATGTTTACAGAATCTGATCATAAAGACACAAAAAGCTTAGACGCTGCGATATATTGGTACAGGAAAGGTTTCGAAGTTCAACCAAATGAATATGCAGGTATTTTATAATTCCTATCGCTATCTTACTATTAAGTTCTTAGTATTTTAAATTCTTTTAATATTATCTAGTAGATATCACCACAAGTTCGACGACGGCAACTAATGTGTTGTAGGGTATAGTAAATAAGTATTTTCATGGAAAATATTATTACTGTTATAGTAATATCATTCTGGAAATATTTCTTGGGTCTTTCTAAGAAAAGTAATAGAAAATTAAAAAGACAGCAAATATTTGATTTCACGCAAACAGCGCCTATGTAATTGGTCTCATCAGAATAGTTATTCATAGGTGTTCTCAACGTGAAAGATCAATATTTTCTGTCTTTATGGCTTCAATATGGACGCAATAGCGACATCTGATAATAAATCCGTAAAATAGTTTCGAAACATAATTCAGATTTCTGCTTTAATCTGTGCTTTCTATAAATTGCAAAGCAAAACAGACGTTGATGAAGGTGTTAAAAGAGACATGGGGAATCTAAAATTTGCATTCCACGACATGTCTTTTCAACTAAGCGGAAATCCTTAGCGAATTGGTTTCTTGTATTCGTACAGAGTAGATCCGAATAAAATGAAAAAGACAGCAAATATTTGATTTCACGCAAACAGCGCCTATGTATCTGTTGATACGTATTTCGACCTAATAGGTCTCATCAGAACAGTTATTCATAGGTGTTCTCAACGTGAAAGATCAATATTTTCTGTCTTTTAAGAAGCAATACTAAAATGGCTTCGATATGGCGCAATAGCGACATCTGATAATAAATCCGTAAAATAGTTTCGAAACACAATTCAGATTTCTGCTTTAATCTGTGCTTTCTAAAAATTGCAAAGCAAAACAGACGTTAATGAAGTAATAGAAAAGTATTTTTATGGAAAACTATCATCAATTTTTTTCTAATGCCATCATGAAATTTTCGTTGGTCTTATTTACAATGAGCTGTTTTAAAATAATTCTTTTGTTTTGATGATTGGATACTACTTTTTGAACTGTGCATGATGCTTATTGAGAACAAAATATCGGCAGTAATATATTATAAAAGTTACGAAATAAGTGCCCACACTTTATTGCTTTTTCTGATATACCTTCTTTTTTATGAAAATATCATCGACCACATCTTCCAGGTGTTCATTATTGAAGACCTTGTTTAAGGGCTTAAAGCAAATGTATGCTGTTTTGTTCGTATACTTTTGTTTTTTTTTAAGTGATTTGCTTTATAATAAAAATAGTATCAAACAGTGGCGGCTGGTGACTCAAAAATTTGGTAGTTCTGCAGTATTTTTTGGTTTTTTTTTTAATTCAATATCTTTTAATCGTTGTATTATACAACGAGGCTTTTAATTTGATATTTTACCCCATATATTTATTCATTATATATCTATTAAAAAATAATAAAGAACTTACCGATTTTCTTCTTTTCAAATTGAAGATAAATCCAATTATATCAAAAATAGCAATGGTACATTATGGCACACTAGTAATTGTTTTATAGTTTATGTTTTTAGTAGAATTTTATCGATAAATACGCGAAACTAAGGAATGCAAACGAAAAAACACTACAAACAAAATCGCCACAACAATAATTGCATTATAGGGTCTTACGAACTAACTACACACAGAGCCAAATATATTATTTTTTTTATAAATAAGCTAGATTCGTCGATTTTTTTTAAAGCAAACTTGTCTATAACTTTGTCATTAAAGTTTGGTATTTCTTTTATAAGTGTTTTTCTACTTACAACATGGTTAATGCTACAAGTCGGTCTTCAGTCATGGAATTTCTCAAGAATGTTTTAATCCGTTTTAAACTCGAAAAGCACCTTTCAGCTTCTGCCGTACTCATGGGCACTGTAATTAGAATTTGAAGCAGTTTTACAGTTTCTTGAAAAGGCTCTGTTAAATTATTTTCAATTAAAAATTTTAAAAAAGGTATTGCCCCATTAATGTCTCTACAGTCTCTTCTAAAATAAATAACAGATAATTCAGTCTTCAAGCGCTCCCTATCTAAATTTGAATATGACGCGCAAGTCAGGCTTAAATTATCATCTGGGAAATTATCACAATAATTATCAAATTGCTCAGGATAAAGCAATGAAGTTGCAGGTAGGTGATTTTTAAAAGCAAATCTACCATTTGCACAATTTATGATTATATCACAAACTTCGATAGATGCTCTCCGATGATCTACTGGACTGTTATCCTTCCGTAACCTTTTAGTTGGTAATGGTTCAACCCATAAACTAGAACCTTGGTCAATGGTATCATCTATTGAATTTCTAACTGAATTCATGTATCTTTCGAAATCTGTCACCTTTTTATTGATTTCCAAAGGATCCGTTTTAGTCTTTTGAAGGGCATTATACAAAACGTCTAATTGTGGCATTATGCGATGGAAAAATGTTAACCAAAAATCAACATTTTGATCCACTAGTATTCTTCGAATGGAAGACGCTGAACTACAGACAGCTGCCTTATCAAACGATTCTTCTATTTCTTCCATACATTCGATAAAAGAAGATCGATGTTCAAACACAACATTAACAGTTCGAATATTGAAGTTCCAGCGAGTTGGAGCGCCATGAGGAATTTTCTTTTGGACGATTTTATCTAAAACTGCCACTCGTTGTGGCGAATTTTTAAAAAAGGTAGGGATTTCATTTAAATTTCCAAAAAAAAAAGTCTAACTTGAGAGTTTTCGGAACAAGACTTAGACATTATTAAATTTAATTGATGCGCGTAACAGTGTACAAAATAAGCAAATGGATATTTTTCTTTGATTCTGGCTTGAACTCCTGCGTGCTGTCCACACATGACCGCTGCCCCATCATAACTCTGAGCAATTAGTTTATTATTTGAGTTTTCCAGGATAGGATCCAAACCACTGAAAATGTTTTTGCTTAAAGTATCTGCATTTAATTTTGAAGGTACCAAATATGTCCAAAATCGTTCTACCGGTGCTTCATTTCGACAATATCTAAATACTACAACCAGTTGTGATTTTGCTGAAATGTCTGTAATCTCGTCGGCCATGACAGCTAGATATGGAGATTCCCGAATTTCCTCCAAAATTTTATCCTGGCATAATTCCAACATGCAGTCCAAAATATCATTTTGAATTTCTTTAGAAATGCCCTTAAAAACCGTCGATTCTTCCAAGTGTTGTGCTAAAGTTCTATCCAATTCAGCAGTAAAATTTATGAGGCTGCGAAAAATTCCAGGATTGTCGGATGTTTGTGTCTCGTCGTGTCCCCGAAGCGCCAATTCGAAAACACTACAAAATTTTATGCAGTCTATAATTTTTGAGAGAACATACCTATTTTTTGTTACAGCTTCATTGAATTTTTGAATATTTATCCACTATGCAGAATCTAACTGTTCTTTAATATTCACGGAGCCTAATAAAGCATATTCCATTTGATTGTGAAAATGATGCTTAGAAGTTTCGTGCTTTTTTATTTTATCACTTAAATGTACTAAGTCTGTTACACCAACTTGCGTCCATGACTTATCACCTCCAAAGAGTACACAAGGAAAACAGAAAAGAGCGTTTTTTCTGTTGCAGCCACATATCCAACTATTTCTCATATAAATATCGCAATTAAATTGTCGTTTGTAATTTTTCCCTCGGCTTGATCCTTCTTTTTCGATTTTAATATCCGGCAAAGGACTTCCTTTGCATTTTAATTCTAGTTTTTCGTCATAAGAATATTTAAAGAATCTCTCAACATTAATCAAATTATAAATAACATCGATCCTGAACAGCACTTTTATTCTCATATACTTAATATAAATACCGAATTACGTGCAGGACAACTTATTTTAAAGTCGTCGCATCGCGATCACCGATTATTTAAAATTACAATAAACGTAGGTTTGTACACACTAGTTCGAACTGCGACAAATGCAGCTCAAATATTGCTTTCAGTCGTCGCCTGAAAAGTGTTGGCGAGGGGTTGAGCGGGTGTTATCGGGGATATCTTTAACAGGTCACAGCTCGGAGTAGCACCGGTCCGGTCAAATAAGTGGGACTTGCTGTCGCCATGAGATGCGACGGACGACAGATTAAAATAAAGGCGGCCATGCACGAAAACTATCTAAATGAATTTAGATTTTATAGGTAGTGATATTTTTTATTTAATTTTCAAAGTAATTTTGTTTGGATGATTTTGGTGGTTCTGCAGCTCCGCAGCACTTATATACCAACCGCCACTGGTATCAAACCTATCCACAGTGCAACAAAAAACGAAGAGTACCAACACTAATAATAAAATGTTAGTTTTTAATACTGCCCAAACCAATTCGATCGAATTCATATTCTCTTTGAAATTAATGTTTTCGCCCTTTGTCTGTTCCACCTCGTCTCTTGAATATAAGTAATTTGTACTCTCCTTCTTTTAAGCGTATCTATCAACAAAATACCCTTATCTGTAGATTTCAAGACGCAATTCTGATTTTTCTAACCTGTAATGGTGTTCGCTCTGAAATAGTCCGCTCCCGGGAATCCGAATGGATGCTCTGTTTGCTTCCGGAACATTTCATCATAATAAATATTATTTGTGTTACATTTGAGGTCTTTTTATTAATAATACCTGAAAATATTATTGAACATGGGATGTATGAATACCTTTTCTGTCAGCGTCATGTCAAGCACGATTTTATAGACTTACTTGAACATTTTATTACACTACGATGACTAATTTTTTACATGAAGTAATTGTTTTTCCCTTATTTTGCAGGCATTAATCTAGCAACACTCTTAGTCATTAAAGGTGCGGAAATAGGCAAATCGGATGAATTGCAGCACATAGGCATGATATTAAATAATCTGATTGGTAAAAAGGGCAGCTTAGCTTCGTTGATCGACTACTGGGATGTTGCCACTTTTTTCGAAATATCCGTTCTTTTCCAACATTACAGCAATGCAACTCAAGCAGCTGCTTGCATGTTTAAGTTAAAACCTCCAAACTGGTATCTCAAGTCTACTGTTGGAAACATACAGGTAGGTAATACTAGTTTTCATACAAAATTTTAACTTATTTAGAAAAAAAACTAGATTTTACAATATGGTTCATTCGCTTAGCTTGGAAATATTTTGACAGATTCATTTTCGGAAACATATAACACAAAAAATCCTCCTCTCTTATCACTTGCCCATCGTGCATTCTAGGAAATTTTGAATTCGATCATTGGCGGCGCCTAAGAAGTATGGTTCCTTGCTAGTCACTTTACATTATAACAATAGAATATTATATATTTGCTTATAATAATAAAAATTATACATTAGATCTAGTTTATAAAGTATGTTTTCATTCACATTAATAATGTGTCGATTGAGACGAAGTCGAACTTAACGGGAAATACCCATTATCATTGAAAACGCATTTTTTCATACTAATTTATTCTTTTTCTAAAAAAAATATGTTTATTTCTAGCTCATAGATAAATTTCGTAAAAAATCTGATGAGGCAGTTAGCCCAGAAGAACAAATATTCCACTTCTGGATGGAATTTTTTCTGGAAGCGACGAAAGAAGAACAAGAAGAAGCGTTCAGATTCCCAGCTTTAATTTTGGAGCCCAGTAAGGAATTGATGCCTAGTTATGTGTGTATTAATTTAGGAGGAGACCCTCAAACTCTACAGGTAAGTTCTCAAAATACAAATTAAGCGAATTATGTATTTGTTTTATTACTTGTGAAAGAAAAACTCCTTTCTTCTTCTTTTCCTCAGCTTTTCTCTTTTCAGGGGTCGCCGTTCCCTACTCTTCGTCGCTCATTTCTGTCCATAGCATCGGGTCTTCTTCACCTAAACCTTTCTCTTTTAATTCCTCTGCCACACAATCCCTTCATCTTCTCGTCGGTTTTTCTCCATCTTTTCTTCTATCAACTTCTAACAACTCTATCCTTCGTCCCATATAGTTATCATCTCCATGTCTGACATGACCAAACCATTGCAGTCATGGACGTATAAACACAGATGGACACAGCAATAAGATACCTTTAACACACAATGTTTTGAAGCTTCGATATTCCTGGGCAAGAAGGCAAAGGGGAATAAAACGGTTATCGATAGAATGTGATGCTTCCTCAATGAGCATAAGCGTGCTTGACTTTTTACTCGCGGGGATAATTAGTAGAAGCCTATACTGCTTCCATGACGAAGCAGTATAGGCACTCTGATTTAATACCTTGAGTTTGTTTTTAATCCGACGTCGCCAGATATCGGATCGGGAGAAATACGGTTCCAATGTAGGTGTACACTAAGTCGTACGCCTTCTCAAGATCTATAAATATAAAATGTATATCTCTTTTCTTCTCGCCGTATTTCTTTATCAACTGTCTCAAACCAAACATGGCATCCGTTGTCATCCTTCCTGGCATAAACCCAAACTGTTGTTCTCCTAAAGATGTCTCTCTCCTTAACCTTTTCTCTACAGTTCTCTTTCAAATTTCCATAGTGTGCAACATCAACTTTATCCCTCTACAGTTCTTACAGTCCTGAATGTCCCTTTTATCTTTATACAATGATACCATCACACTCTTTTCATGCATTGGGCATCCGTTCTTCCTTATATATTCTACTCATTATTTGCTACAATATATTAACTTCTTCATATAGAGTCTTCCAAACCTCCACAGGTATTCCATCAGGTCCTACTGATGGAATACCTGTAGTCATTCGTCCTATTTAACGCCTCGAGAGCTTCATCCCTCGCTGTCACCGGTATTATATTCTCATTTGGAATCCCGCATCCTATGTCTCTTATCTGGTGTTCTTCATTTAGCAACTTACTAAAGTACTTAAACATGTGTTCGTAACACTCTTCCATCCGCACTCCTAATCTGCCTCACGTGGTTCAAGTCCTTTGATGACTTGTTCCTTGCTTTAGCAATGCTGTATCATCACCTTATAATCCCCTCGGGTGTTTCCAACTCTTCACACAGCTGTGCAGACGATTTTTCCTTAGCAGTAGCTACAGCTCGCTTTGGTTCCCTCTTTGCCAGCTTAAACATATCCTTATCTTCCTCTCTTTTAAACCTGTCTTACCTCTGTCTAGCCTCTTTCCTCTCTAACCTTCTGTTGCACCTCATTGTTCCAACACCAAGTTTTTTTATCTAGAAGGCCCTTTACCAGATGTTTTTCCTAGCACTGCCTCTCCCACTCGCACCACAACTTTACTGTTGGCTTTCCACCAGTCATGTACCGTATCCTTTTCCTCAAACTCTTCGGGTACTCTACATTAAAGACTATTGCCAAATCCTTATACTTTACTTCCACCACTTTACTTTCTGGTTTCCTACTTGCTTTTCGTTCCGCCTCACCTTTATCTCCGTATCCACTATCACCGTATTGAGTTGCTACACACTCTCCCTTTATCACTTTACAGTTTCTAAACTCTTTTAGCTGATTTCTTCTACACAACACAAAATCTATCTGACTTTCCCTTCCCCCGCTACTATAGGTAACATACTGGTTTTCCGTCTTCATAAAGAACGTATTAATGACAGCCAAATCCCATGCCACTGCAAAGTAAATCACACTATTTCCTTCATCATTTCTTCTTCCCATCCCCAAACCTCCATGAGCATTTTCTATTTCTGTTCTTTCTGTACCAATATGTCCATTTAATTCACTTCAATAAAACATTTTCGTCTACAGGAATCTCGAGCATTTCGCAATCCAGGGTGCACCAAAATTCTTTCTATTCCTGTTTTTCACACCCTACCTGTGGGGCGTAAGCACATATGATATTCACGTCGGTATTGCCTGTATTCACTTGGACACTCATTATTCTCTCACTTCTTCTGGTTACTCTTACAAGAGGTTCCTTCCATTCGTTGTTTAAAATCATACTTATTCCATTTCTTATATACTTTATGATCGTTTACTAGTATATACTGAGGAAAAAATAGGCAAATACCAATGTGCATTCCGAAAAGAAAGGTCAACAATTGATCAGATTTTCCTTCTCAGACAAACCTTAGAAAAGACATATGAATATGGAATTGATACCCACCACCTCTTCATAGATCTTAAAAGCGCTTATGACAGTGTAGACAGAAGCGCACTTTATAATGCCGTAGAAGAACTAGATATTCCGTCGCATCTAATAACATTGGTAAAGGTAACTCTTTCGAAAGTTGAGTGCAAAGTACAGAATAGAGTGTCAAGGTCTTTTCTAAAACACATACTGCAGTACGCCAGGGAGACAGTCTATCGTGCCTATTGTTTAACATCGCACTAGAAATAGCCATAGAGAAAACGGGCATAACAACCAGAGGTACGATCATCAATAGAAATATACAGATATTGGCCTACGCAGATGACATTGACATAGTAACACGGACAAGGAGACCTGATACAGGCTTTTGAAACATTAGAAAAAGCCGCGAAGACAATGGGAGTGCAGATCAACTTATCCAAAACAAAATACATGAAGGTCACGAAGAGCACACAAATAGCGGCACCACAAGATCTGGTGACAGAAGCACACACATTCGAAGGGGTCTCAGAGTTTATATATCTTGTAACACAACTAAATAACAGCAACCTAGTAAGCGTAGAAATTAAGAGAAGAATATACCTGGAGAACAGAGCTTAGTTTGGACTAAAGCAGTTCTTAACATCACACATAATTAGCAGAAACTCCTATCAAACCTGTCCTGACATAAGCGTCAGAGACATGGACTAAAAAGCGACGAAGAACTGTTAGGCCGCTTTGAAAGAAGAATACTTAGACACATATACGGAGGAGTACAAGAAAGCGTCTATTAAAAATAATAGACTAAGATGGCTAGGACACCTTGAAAGAATGGACACTGGAGACCCCCAAAAACAGATATTATATCAAAAGCCAGTAGGAACCAGGAAGAGAGGCAGGCCAAGATCTAGATTTAAAACTCAAGTCAAGACGACTTGAGGAATCTAAGGGTCAGAAATTGGAAAGCCAGGGCGAAAGATAGGGGGAATGGAGACTAATTCTTGAACAGACCAAGACCCACCCAGGGTTGTAGAGCCAAAGATGATGATGATGACTTACTCCATTTCTGCCGTGACAGTTGGAACTACTATATAATAACTTGCATCCATCTTCAAGATCTCTCGACTTATTACTTTTCCAACGAGTTTCCTGCATACAAAGTACACCAATCCTTCTCCTCTACATGGAATCGGCGAGCTCTCTTTATTTACCTGCCATGCTTTCTACGTTGAGAGTTGCAACTCTCAGCTGTCAAGAAAAACTCTTTTAATATTTAATAATAGTAATTTTATCTTCCTAAATCATCTATATTATCACAGCCACCTTTACTTCCAAGCCATGAAGTAAAAAAGGCAACACCGCATTCTATGACGTCGGTAGTCCGATAATCAGCTGTAAGGTCTACCAGAATATTAAACTAATTTGAATTTTAGGAAACTGATATTTTGAAAACTTCAATTCATTACAGAAATATTTTTAGGGAAATTAAATTAATAAAACCTTATATATACCTAGTAAATATATATAAAGTTTTATTATTATTTAGGTTATATTATCAATAAAATAATCACTAGAGTAAAATTTATTGCACTTAAAATCATCGAGCAAAAAGACAATAGAGGGAATGTAAAGGTAGTGGGGGCAAACATATTGATAGACAGGAAGTGCGATCTTTAGAGGCCACTTTAAACAAGGAAAGAGAGTCTCTCTCCTTGTTTGACATCAAATTTAGTTGGGTTATGTTATTGTTTGTCACATGAAATCTTATTTATATTGAAGTTTTTTAACAATTGTGTCGCATTTTAGACTCTTATCATTAATAATTAATTAAAACTTTCTCGTCTAAGACACATTTTGAAAAATATTATATAGCTACTGTTGATAAGTGTCGGAAAATTTAAATTTCGCGCATTCGCATTTCCGGATATGTCCGCCATCAGAGGCCACTTTTTTGGTCTCCTTTTCATAAGGATTAGATTCCCTCTTTTGTCTTATTGCTCGATGCTTAAAATACAGTATCAAACAGGTAATCTTGCAATCAAATGCAGTCAAGAATCTCTAGAAATTTTAAATATTAAGTACTTAAGCATATAAATAACACAATACATTAAACGACATTTAAAAAGATTATTAAAAATACAAAAGATATAAAATTTGTTAAGTAAAAACTTTAGTTAAGTGTAACTATTATGATTAAAAAACTCATCCTAAGAAATCAGACACAATATAAATATGGTTCTAAATTAATCTAATTGAAAATTAATTTTTATAATATTTTACTATTTACTTATAACTTTTGTTGAATTTTCATACTTAGGTATACGAAAGTAGCAATTTTAAATATGAATAGGTTTGTTGTCATATAGACCAAGTTAAAAGAGGTATTTATGAAAAATGTGTTGAATGTAACATACCATTTATAACTTGTATATCGATTTAAAATAGCCTATATTCTCAAAATATTTTTGAATGTAATACTCAAATTTGTTATCACTTATCTAAAAAGCAGATCTAAATTAGAAAGTAAGTTCTCTAATTGTGACCATCTTGTTAATTTACTATATTGTAAAATCCATTTCGAATCATTACCACTTAATCTATTCTTACCTACATTGACGATTACACTAAAATTACTGCTAACTATTACACTACATATTACACAAATATTATCACACTCGTGTCCCAACTGATTAATGTTTAATACATAGAAATATACACAGTCACTTGTAATTTTACTTGTCCAGTTTTTCAATGGGATATTATTGTCTAAGTCTTGTTCCCTCTTCTTATGCAAAAAGTTTCTTCTGTCTTAGGGATTCCTTCTTTCTTTAGGACGATGAACAGTTACATATGATGGTACTTCAGGAAATATATTAGGAACTGCATTGCCTTTTAATTTGGGAAATATTAACTTTTCAATGTGTACATTTCCATCTTTATCTTCTCATTGTTCAGTCCGCTGAATATCATCTTCATGAAAATGTTTGGCACATACTACGGAAGATTTGGTAATTGTACAGCCTTCTCTATGAATAGAGCATAACCCAGTATACCTCCTTTGGGGATCTTTGGGAAACAAAAACGTACTTTCTGCCTGTTTCGTTTTTAAAGTACTGGCATAATTAGTTTTGCAACCAGGTACACAACAATGCCAGAGCATCTGTAACAAAAAACAAAAGTATTTTCAGTTTGTTTTGTAGGTTATATTTATACTTGCCTTTTAAATTGTCGTTAAGAATATTTTAAAAGTTCTAAATTTAATGAAATTTCACTTATATTAATATTTTCTAGTTTATTTAAACACAATTTACAAATAAAACATTCGAATAAAGTTAAAAAAACACTAAATTCAACAAACTTTACAAGCCTTCCTATATGAAATGTTAAACAAAACAAACCACAGTCGGACTACCACGCGTTGTTGCCAAATTTCTACTTCATGGCTTGGAAGTAAAGGTGGCTATGATATTATACATTTTAAAGTAGATGACTTTAAATAACGGTATTGTTAGTATTAAGGAATTTATTATGCTGATAACGTGATATTGCTGCAGTATATTCATGTAAAGAACTAATACAATCCATAGTAATTATATATTTTAGGTAAATAACCTTTGCGACCGCAGTTTGAGAGGAGAATGCAAACAAATACACGACTGGGAATTTACAGAAAATCAAATTAGAAGTGTTAGCTTTTATAAAAGAGATGAAAGATGCCTGTTTCTCTATGTCCATCACAACTCGGATGATTTTCAAATATTTTTCCCTTCAGAGTCATGTCGGTATGTTAATGACTAAAAAGTACTTTTCTATATTTATATGTTATAAATATTTTCAGAGAATGTTTTTATAAACTTATCCTCGAACTGACCAATCATCAAGAGGGTCTGGTAGAATCGGAACCACCTCGAGATATTAAATATGAATACGAAAGGGATGAAATAGGTAAAAAACTCCTTTTAGGAAAAGGAACATATGGAGTAGTATATGCTGCTCGGGATCTCAATACACAAGTAAGTATATACGAGAGTGTCTAGTTAAATATTTAGATTTAAATTGAAAAGTAATAAAAGCGGTGCCTATGACTCTACAGAACTTTAAGGGTACGCTGATAACAATTATAAAGACGTGATGGGACGTAAAAATATTAACATTTAACCTTCCTCCGGTAACGTGAATTCTTGTAACATAGTTGGTAACGTCGGTCTATGACACCGATTCTTTTAATAATAAATATCTTAGGTTGTGATTTTCTGTTAATATTTTGATGTGACTAAATATTTAATATCTCTCTCTCTCTCTCTCTCTCTCTCTCTCTCTCTCTCTCTCTCTCTCTCTCTCTCTCTCTCTCTCTCTCATCAATCCTGACCTCCCAGGGGGAGTGTAGTGGTCGACGTGATGTCGTGTATTGTCCGTCTCTGGTCATTTCTTTTAATTCATGCATAGGTCTTTGGCATATTCCTGTAATTTGATCTATCCATCTTTTTGGGGATCTTCCTCGTGATCTTCGGCCTTCTACCTTTCCTTGTATTATGAGTCTTTCCATGTTTTCTGTGTTTGCTCTCATAATGTAGAAATGAATTGCATACGTTATACACTTTTTATTTACTGAACTATAATAAATTTAACATTTGAAACATTAAATAAACTGAAATGAAATGGACTGTATAATTTTCGAACTGGCTTCTTCGATGGTCGCTAGCTAAGAGAGGGCGACTTGTTAAAGCCGACTCCGCATGGTCGGCCGGAACACCACGTTGCCACGTTGATTCAAGTTTTCACCATATTCCCCGCCTTGAACGGTTGGTTCAATAATACTGGTAGAGGACATATTTTAGTTACAGCTCTTTTTAAAGTTCCTTTCGACGTCTTCACTGTAACGACTCGTACTACGCCGTCTGGACCTGGGTGAGCTTCACTGATTCGTCCTAAAATCCATTGACATGGAGGAACATTCTCATTTCTGATGGTCACCAATGTACCACATTCCAAATTGGGTACCTTTTGTTTGCCCTTATATCTGCTTTGAAGGCTGGAAAGGTAGGAAGTAGACCATTGCTTCCAAAAACTTTGCTGCAATTGTTGAAGCAGCTGAAATCTTGTTAACTGGTTCAGTTTTACCGTTTCACCAAAAGCTGGATCAGGAACAGCAGTATGTGATCTTCCAATCAAGAAGTGAGATGGGGTTAAGGGTGAAAAGTCATTAGGGTCTGAGGACATAGGGTAAAGGGGACGAGAATTTACCGTAGCCTCAATTTGTGTTAGTATCGTTACAAATTCTTCATACGTTAATAAAACATTTTTAATTGTCCTTAGTAAATGATGTTTTACACTTTTAATGTTAGATTCCCACAATCCTCCAAATGACGGAGAATTCGACGGAATAAAATGCCATTGAATATTTTTATTTGTGAAAAAGTTTGAAAATGTATCATAAGAGGTAGACAAAAACTTAAATAATATATTTAACTCATTTTTTGCACCTACAAAATTAGTCCCATTATCCGAATATATGTGAGATGGTTTTTGTTTGATTTCTGGAATAATAATAGAATCTGACTGTTTAAATGGTGGAGGAATAAAAGAGCAATCCAGTAAAAATATAGGACCATTCCACCAAAGACGTTGATTAAGTAACTCATGGGGATAAGAGCCTCTTGAAGCAATATCAGCTGGGTTATCCTTTGATGCAACATAATGCCATGAATGACTTTTTGAGAGACGCTGAATTTCACTAACTCTATTGCCTACAAACACTTGAAGATTACTTGGATCTGCGTGTAACCAATGTAACACAATTTGTGAATCACACCAATAAATTGGAAGTATAGAAACCCCTATTGCGTCTATAACTGATTTCATTAATTTTGCCAATAATACAGCTCCACATAATTCTAATCGTGGAATTGTAAGTAGTTTTATAGGAGACACCTTGTTTTTGAACATAATAAACGAACTGTAATGTTTCCAGAATTATCGAAGCACCTGATATACACAACTGCGCTGTAAGCATTGAACGATGCATCGCTAAATCCGTGTATCTCGTATCGTTGATGCGATTCGGTTAAAATAAATCTGTTCAATTGAAATTGATTTATCAAATGTAATTTGGACTTGAATCGATTCCAGTCCTCTACTAATTCTGTGGGAATCTGATCATCCCAATTCAGTTTTTGTTTCCATAACTTTTGTAATAATATTTTGACCAAAATAATACATGGACTGATAAGTCCTAACGGATCATAAACCTTTGCAATCTCTGACAAGATCTGTCTTTTTGTATTTATTGTTTTTTGTTGTTCTGGAAGATTGTAACATAAAATATCGAGTTTAGGAATCCATTGTATTCCTAGTGTCTTTACAGGATCTGAATTTCCCAAGTTTAAGACGCTAAGTTCATCGGCATTGTTCTTTAAATGTTCTATAATGACAGGATCATTGGAAACCCATTTGCGTAAATTAAAACCACTTGACTGCAGTATATTAGAAATGTTTCTGCAGGTTTGTTTCGCAACATCACAATCATCAAAACCTGTAATCAAATCATCGACATAAAAATCCTCATGAATTAATTTGGATTCTAATGGAAAATTATCTTGACAATCATAAGAAATTTGTCTTAAACATCTCATTGCGAGATATGGAGCACTCGAGGTACCGTATGTCACGGTATTTAAGGTCATAATTGAAAGAGGATGATGTACATCTTCTCTCCAAAATATTTTTTGTAAATGTCTATCATCTGGATGGACATCAATACACCGATACATCTTTTCGATGTCTGAAATAACTACATATTTATGAAACCGAAACCTTAACAATATTGCAAAAATATCATTTTGAATAGCTGGTCCTGCGTACTGAATAGAATTAAGAGACTTACCAGATGTTGTATTAGCAGAACCATTCAAAACAACCCTTAATCGTGTACTAAGGCTTTCATTGCGGAGCACCCCGTGATGAGGTAGAAAATATGAACAAATGTTGTCATCGAAATATGTGTCAATTGACATATGGTTAAGTGCCTGGTATTCTTGCATAAATGAAACATAAAGATTCTTTAATTGAAGATCTTTTTCAAATTGTCTTTCAAGATTTAGAAATCTCCTCACAGCTAAGTCTTTTGAATCTCCTAACTGTTCTCTACTTTCTTTTAATGGAATCTTGACAATAAATTTACCAGTTGAATCTTTAGAATATGTATTCTTGAAATGTTCTTCACATATGTTGTCCTCTTGAGAAATTACCTTTGTATTTGAAACTTCTTCTATTGACCAAAATTTTTCAAGATCCTTCTGTACTTGATCATTCTGTACAAAAAAACATTGGACCTTATCGACATTTTGTGACCACAACCCGGCAACTACATAACCAAAACATGTGTTTTGTAAGACAGGAAGATTTTTACCCAGAGAAATTTTTCCATTTCGAAGTATATCCCAGAATAAATCGGAACCAATAAGCATATCAACTGATTGTGATCTATGAAACGAAGGATCTGCCAAAGAAATGTTTTTAGGAATATTTAATTTAGAACCTTCAATGTTATAAATAGGTAAATTTTCTGTAATTTTAGGTAGGACAAAACATGTTAAATTGAAGATATCTGAATCATAAGTAGATCCAATAGAAACATTGCATTTATAACGTAGGGTGGAAGTGACACGATTGATCCCCACAATTGAAAGATTTGCATCTATTTGCTTTAGGTTAAGTTTTTTGCATAATTTTTCTGTTAGAAATGAAGTCTGGCTACCACTGTCAAGAACAGTTCTTACCTGATGAACTTGACCATTATCATCCCATATATTAATGATGGCAGTAGACAGTAAAACATATGTATTATTAGTTTTTGAGAAATTAGACACAGCTAGCTCTGTCGCGTTATTTGATTCATGACAATTGGTGCCATTATTTGTTACTTGTAATGACTGAGCTTGAGCTGCTCGCATATTTGAATTTGTAATGTGATTAATTGAATAAGTTCCTTGATCCTGATAATGATGCAACAGGGTATTATGTTTACCTTTACAAACTTTACAGGACCCATGACTGCAATCTTTACTAAAATGTCCCTTGCATAGGCAATTTGTGCATAATTTCATACCTTTAATCCTTGTCCATCTTTGAGAAACACTTAATTGTAAAAATTGAGGACAATAGTAAATAAGATGATCACTTTGACATAAATGACATATTTTCTTTGCATTAGAAAGATTATTTGACACTAAAGATACATGTTTTTTAAATGGTTTTCTCTGTTGAGAACTTTGTTGAACTTGAGAGTTGACATTTATTCCCCTCTCTTCAAGCTTTTCTAATTGATTTGCTTTGTTATCTAGAAATTTAAATAAATCATTGACTTCTGGTAAAGTATCTTTATCGTATTTTTGCTCCCATTCTTTTAAAGTAACTTTGTCTAATTTGTCTGAAATAATATGAATCAACATAGCACTAGATAATGGATTTTCATAAGACAAGTTTAAATTCTTTAAAACAAGCAAATGTTGATTAACTGTATCTACTAATTCTCTTACAGCACTAGCACTTTCTTGTGTGACTGATTTTAAATTAAATAACGATTTAATATGACTATTGACAAGCAAATGAGGATTGTCAAACCGTTTGCATAAAGCCTGCCATGCTAAAATATAATTTTGTTTAGAAAATTCTAAATGCTTAACAATTTGTTGCACTTCTGTGCCTAAAGAAGTTCGTAAGTAATGGAATTTTTGAATGTCATTCAATGAAGAGTTTTGATGAACTAATAACTCAAATGTTTCTTTAAATTCTATCCATTTGCAAAACTCTCCATTAAAGGAAGGAATTGTGACTGGAGGAAGCTTGACAAATTCTACTTTATTTTCAAATAACTCGCTGTGAGTTGTATTATTTGTTTCAGAACTAATTATAACATTTAATTTGCATACCAAACATAAAGCACTTGCTGTGTAAGTTGCATGGTCGTTTGTAAAGTTAATTCGTTCAGCATATTCATTTTCTAATTGATCAT